TGGTTGGTTGTGCCAAAGGCTATGGGTAAATAGCTTGAGTTTAACACAAGTTTACATCTATGGGTTGTCTAAGTGGACTTTTAAGATCCTAAAGTACATGTTCAAATCATGTGCAATTGACTTTGGAGGTTAATGGATAACCATTTGTTTTAAACAGATCTAAGATTTTTGAAGTATGGTCCATCATTAAAAAGAAAAAGAAAAGGAAAAGGAAAAAGGTAGTTTTGAGAGTTGATCAGTATTCCTTTGGGTAAAATAATTACTAACATTCAATTAAGTGCACTATTTTATCTTGTTAAAGTATGGTAGAAACAAACAATAAGATCTATTTTGAAAAATGTATATTGAAAATATCTAGTTTTACAAAAAAAATTATAAATTCACGTGCATTATCATTTGAGCATAAATTCGTCTCAATTTTCCTTAGCAGAGTTTACACAAAATACTAAAATAGCATTCAAATAACACCATATGAGGCTTTATAATGGAAGAATATATCGTTCTCTAATTAGATAGCCTGAACATTTGAATCGGACAAGACAAAGTTATTGGATCCGGATTTAATTTAACATGACTTGAAAAAAATTAAAATAATACAAAAATTGCTTCAAATATTTTAAAGTAGTCAGAAGTATTATGCGGAGTGAAGAGGCGTTTCGAAGATTATTGAAGTCAAGTTTCTAAAATTTACATATTTTAAGAAAGTGTTTTTGAAGAGAAACAATTTATATTTAATTAATCATTTTAAATAATTTCTTTTTAGTTTTAACAATATTAAAACAGAATGTTGTACTTGATCATAATTCCAAGAGTTTCTAAAAAGTGAGTATCTTTTAACTTTTAAAAATAGCTTCCATTATAATTCAAACACACATAATTTTTTAAAATCTAAACAGCTTAGCGAAACATCTTAACTTCATAAAAGAAGTATTTTTTAAAATATATAAATAATATATTTTATCATTTAAAACTTGATCAAACAGATTATTAATTCGGTACGAAAAGTGAAAAAGGCATTCTAGTGAAGATTCATGTTTGGTCCTTTTCACATGATTGAGTCCACCTTATCCCTTTAGACATCAAATACCACTTTCATTATTATTTTTTTAACAGAATAAAGTACTAGAACTTGCAAAAAAAAAAAAAAACTAAACTTCTAAATTTCCTTCCTAACTTAAATCAATAAATTGTCATTGTCACTAATGGCTACTTGCTAAAGCCAGTAATTGTCTTGCTCTTGATGGTGAGATTTAGGGTTGTTCATGGTTATGATTAATAAATCAAGTCGAATAGGAATTTGAATCAAATCGATATTTAGTGTGTTTGATTAGGTTTGGTTTTAAATTTAAAAAAAAAAACAGAAAAAATAATCAAATCGAATCGAGAAATTATATGTATAAATTTTATAATTATTTATATATTATTTATAAATAAAATACAAATATTTTGTTAAATTTTAATTAACTTAACTCTCTAACTTTACCATTTTCTCAAGCTCAACACTTAAATTTTAACCCAGACATTAAAATTCTAAGACCAAGTCTATGAAAAATCCATTACTTTAGTTTTACCTACTCTACCTTACATCACATAATCATACTTTCTCTTGGTTGAATCATTTTGTTTGTGTAATAATAACTCTAGTATTGCTTAATTTAATCCGCAATAGCTTTTATGTGGATTGTTCATATATTAGGTGTCTGTTTCTATCGAGATGCTTATTTCCTCAACAAATTTAGTACTTTCAAACCGAAAAAAATCCGAACCAAACCGACGATTTTTTTTCATTTGGTTTGGTTTTAAAAATTTAAAAGCCGGCTATATTGGTTTGGTTTTGATTTTGACCAATAATCGATCCAAATCGAACCATGAACACCCCAAGTGAGATTGTACTTTTATGTGTTTTTCATGTTTTATTTTTTGAAAATTAAATTATATGAATTTTTTATTAATATTTTATATTTAATTTTTATTATATTAATATGAGATAAAGTGTAGTTTGTAGTTATTTCATTTTTTTAATATCAAAATTTGAATTGTAAAATATTAAGTTGATCACTTTCAATTTACTTTCGAAAATCAAGAATAATAATGCAACTAACTTTTGTTTTAAGAAAATGACTCATGCTTGACGTGAATAATTTTTTTGTGCCAGTAAAAGTGTTGTATTAAAGAACAATTAGTTATTACTATTATTCATGATTTTTTATACTTTGTAAAGTAGTGTATTTGAAAGTTTATAATAACATGTAATCTCAAGCATTTACTTATAAATGAACGTCACGATATGTGAATTATTACTGCCACTACTAGAAACAGAGATTTTTTCCATCGCGAATCAATGAGAAATATGTGTTATAAAACATATTTTTTTGTCCATTTCCTAACGAATCAGCTAACTGGAAAAAAACACACATGATGAAAAATAGTTTGTCACTAAAAACTAGGAAGCTTTTTAATTTTTCATTTGAAAACACTAAAAGCATTTATTTTTTCTTTTCTTCCCGATTCAATCAAAAAATCTGTGAAAATAGCCATTGAACATTTTTTCAGTAGGAAATTCCAATGGAATAATAGTGACTTTTTATTAGTGTGCGACGCCTTAAGATATTTCGATACCATGTTTATAAACTATGATTTGCTCATCTGATAAGACTGTATAAGAGTTGGTGAAGTTTTGATGATTTTCAATTTTCACAATTTGTGAGGTTTTTATATTTATATAAAAAAAATACAACTTAAAAATTCAAATTATATATAAAAAAAAAATCAACTTCGAATCAACCCAATTTCAAATTACTAAATTCAAGTTATGATATAAAATCATGTTCAAACAAGTTTTATATATGGTCCCCTAATTGAAGGAAAATGCAATTCGTATGAGGACATTATTTTGGTTTTTGATTCTTTTTGTTATGTGTGATGTGGCCTATTGATTGTGTAAATCCAAGTTGGTTACAATTTTATACCAAATATACCTAATAATTTATATCGTGCTATATAAGTTCCTTTCTTTGGCACCATTTTTTGTGGTCCATAAACTAATGTTGTTGAATTGTTATCCATTATCAATACTTAATGTTTGGACAGCTCTTCCATTTTTTTAGGTAAAGTAAAATTAAATATTAGTAATTGATAACTTTAGATATTTTTTTCTTTCTCCACATTTGAAACTTGTTACTATATTAATTTGAATTTGTGTCATCAAGGCTCGTTTAATGGAATAAACAACACATTACTAAAAAATTCTTTATTTTTCAGTCGAACTTGCCTCACATTATTGAAAAGTTCTTCATTCCTCAAAGCTCGAACTTTTAGATAATCTGAATTATATCACTATGATCTAATTTAAAAAGTAGCTAATTTGATAACAGACTGTGATGTGCTTTGAGATGGAATCAATATTGACTAAAAATTAAAAATAAATTCATGATAATGAAATATTATTACAAGAAAGAATTAGCTAATTATTATTGTTGACTTGATGAAGAATGAATAAGAAAAAAGGTTTATCTCATTAACAAATTGATATTTTCTGGATTTTAAATTAGTTGTCATGTTTTTTGTAAAACTCAGTTTAAATTATTTTAAAGCTAAATTGAATTAAATTGTAACTTTTTAGTGTTAATTTGTGAAAAATATATTATAAAATTTTAATTAAAATTTATATATTATGAAGTGAAACATGACAATTAATATAGGACAAAAGAGTATATACATGCATTCAAATTAATTAAGACAGCCTATACTGAGCAGGGAAGACAGGAAACTGTCTAATTAATGGATAATTCATGAGGATTTATACCTAATTATTTAATTGTTAAAAGTATAATAAACCAAACATCTTACTAATTTTAAATAATTCACGTTCTCATATTTTAAAACTGCATATCCCTCTTTCATTTATTTAATAAAAAAAAATATACATATATTTATTTAATAAAAATATATACATACCTGAAGTTGGCTGTCAAGTGTCAATTGGATATAGATAAGATCAATTATATAAGTACAATGCTGTATTAAAAAATAGACTAAAATATACTACGTGTCTACTTGTAGCTGGCAGGTAATTATATATAATAATATAGTCATCGATGATTTTAATAATACTCCCTCGATCACATATTAGTTGTTAATATTATTAAACATGTTCATTTCAAAAGACTTTCTGTGTTTATTTTGTTTTGTTAATTTACTAAATATAGGTATTTGCTTAGAAAAATATATTATTATTATTTTACCCTAGTACTTATTCCCCAAATTATTTCAAGATCTAAGATTATACATCAATTAATATAAGTATTGTGGTAAAAAAACAAACATATTAATCATTATTTTTTAAGGAGCGTGTAAAGTTAAAAGTGGACAAATAAAACTAAATAAAGTTGAAAGTGAGCAAGCAAAACTAAACAAAAGGAGTTTTTGTCAATTTACAAAATTTAGAAAGAATTAATTTTAATTTGTTTTTTCTAGTTTACCATTAAAATTTATTATTTTTGAAAGAAAACAATATTGATTACAGTTTAAAAATTAAGAATTAATTAGTAATTTTTATTTATTTATAATTTTTAAAAATGTGTGAGTCTCACTATAAGGAATTGTACCTTATAAAAGTCGGAGTTCAAAATTATAACAACATTATATTTTAGCTCTTGAATTTGGGATTTTGGAGATAATTTTTTGAATTTGATTAAAGAAAAGAAAGAATTTTTAATTTAACTTCATATTCTAGGTATGTAGAAATCTCACGTCTAGGATTAGAGAAATCAAGAATTGTATTGATAATTATAATATTGAGTTACAAGCTCCTTATATAGGAGAAGAGTCTTATTCTAGTTATACTAGGAAACCTACCACAACACAATTATTTACATGAGTAGTATTGTATTATAACTCAAATACCTTATCCTAGTCAACTCCTGCAATATACAGTAGCTTAGTTGTACATAACTTAGGATTTAGTAGTCTCATCCTAGTATGACTCTAACTCTAACTCGTCAGCCTGCTTCGATGAACCTGTTCCTTCGACATGTTCCATCAGTCTTCAAGCTTCCTTTAACATTTCCCCTCAAGCTAGTGAGTGGAGGAACTGTAACTCCTAGCTTGCTGCGAAAACCAGAGAAAACCTGTTTTTGTTAAGGTTTTGCTATGAATATCAGCTAGCTGATCCTTAGACTTCACAAACTGAGTAAGAAGTTATCCCCTGGCCACTTTCTCACGAACAAAATGATAGTCCATTTTAACATGTTTGGTTCGAGCATGCATAACTGGATTAACCGTCATGTACAAGGCACTCATGTTATCACAGTACAACGTAGGAATAGATCGAAGGAACACTCCAAGGTCATGAAGAAGATACAAAATCCAAGTCATTTCTGCAGCAGTGGAAGCTAGTGCTCTATACTCAGCTTCATCATTTGATCGGGCTACTGTAGTCTGTTTCTTGGAGGTCCAAGAGATACAATTTGCACCTAGGTAGATGCTATAGCCTGTAGTTGATCTTCTAGTGGTGGTACAACCACCCCAATCAGCATCTGAGGAGCCATACAACCTATATGGAGACTGTGTTATAATTTTGAGTCCAAAGTGTAGAGTACCTTTGATGTACCTCCTTTTTACCCCTTGAAGATGTTCAGTGTTTGGGCTTTGCATAAACTGGCTTGCTAAATTCACAGCATGAGTGATATCAAGTCTTGTGAGGGTCAAATACTGAAGGCTCCCTACTATCATTCTGTACAAGGAGGCATCTATAAGACTTCCCACAACTTCATGCAAACCATGCTTCTGAGCCAAATGAGTGGCTACAGCCTTGGACAAAGTCATCTCTGTCTTGGCCAGCAACATACTTGCTTTGATTCAAGTGAATTACTTCTTCGAAATACTTCACCTCAACTCTTAGAAAGAAGTGTAAAGGGCCAAGATCTTTCATAGCAAACTCCTTACCAAGTTGGAGAACCAACACTGAGACATGAGATGGATTACTTCCTGTGACAATAATATCTCCATGTTGACACCCAATTTTGACCGACCTTTAACCCTTTTTGGGAATACTATCCGATTAAATACTTATTTTAAAATATACTTCGAGTTTAAAACTTTAGTCGATTTTGTCTAAAAAATATATATTTTAGTATGCTTGCTTTACGAAATTATCGTAAATATTAATAAAATATTTTTTAAAATTATTGATATAACTCGAAATAATTCAAATGTTTTAAAATTTTAAGTAATTTTTAATTATAGTATTTTGTAGTATTTTAATTGGATAGCATTCCTTCAAATTTCCTCAAAATTGTTTAAATTGTAGCCTATTTTCTTCTAATTTCATTCAATTCTAGCCTATGCAATTCCAATTTTATTTCAATTATAGCCACCTTTTCATTTCAATTCTAGCCATATGCATTTCAATTCTAGCCATTCCAATTCCCCAATTCAATCTGATTTTAATTTTCAGCTTTTAATCCTAACCGTCCATCTTTTAAGTTAAACCCTAAATCAATCCTAGCCGCTCATCTAAATTGTTTTAACGGATGAGATTAAATCAATTATTTCTTTCCTATTTTAATTATCAAAACACCAACCCTAACAATTTTTTTCACTCTCCTCCTCTCCCCTCTCTAAGCGCCGCCCTCCATCTCTCCAGATCGCCGCCTCCGGCGAGAATCGCCAGCCGGCAAAGAGGAGACAGTCGCCTCTTCTCTTCTGCTCCGCCTCTCTTCTCTTCTCCTCTCTTCCCGCCAGATGGAGCAACCAGCAGCTTCAGCCGGTGACAACAGCAGCTAGCGAACGGCGAGGACCTCCGACCAGCAGCCTGGAAAAGCGAGCAGCAGTAGCCGACGGAAACAGCAGCATGCCTTTCCCCTCTCCGGCGGGTTCGAGGTAACCAGCAGCCAGTCAAGACCACTAACCTACTTCGACAAAATCCCGGTGAAATCCATCGGAAACAACAACAACAAAAGCACTGCAGCGGATTCCGGTGGAGCTTTTGAAGATTTCGAGTTAATTAAAAGATGGATCTTAACAGATCCATCCAGGTGAGTTTTGAATTAATTCTTAGGCTTAGATCTTAACTCTTTGTTCATGTCTAAGTGTCATGAGAATTTGAGCATCATAGGATTCCTTAATATTGAAATGCTACAACCTGTTTGTTAAGGTTCTAGAATTCTTTGCTTTCATTGTTTGCCTCTTTGATTCTGTACTGTGAAATGTCTCTGTTAATCATTTCTACATGTTAAACATAAAAGATGAATTGTCATAGTTGTTAATTTAATTTTTCGTGTGCTAGCTGATGCTACAGTTCAATTAGCATTGAATTACCATGTATTTGTGATTACACACTGATTTGAGGGCGTATTTCATTGTCAGATTGGGTGTGTGGTTTAATTTTAGTCTAAGGGGGATTCGATCATTTGAAATACCCATTTTTCAAAATTACTTATGGCAAATACGAATCATTTGTGATTAACTGATTTCGCTCAGTTAGTCAAATTACCCTCTCTGGCTCTCTTTATTAAGGTAATAGTATTTTAAATATTGTACTAAAATTGTTTGTTTATTATTATAACTACTGCATATATTTGGTAAGTGGGTCAGTTTAGGTTGCAAAAAACTAAGGACATAGTCATTAATTATTTGATTAATTATATATATGTTGACAAATTGACGTTATTACAGTAATGTTGACCAATTGTTTTACTATGGTATGTAAATTTGAATAGGTTCTTGCTTATGGTAATGAATATTGTTACAATAGGATTGGCGAATATTTGGTACTTAATTTGGGCAATATTTATTCTTTCCTTATAATATGTATCTCCCCTGTATCTTATGTTATCCATTGATTGCCATAAATTTTTCATGCACTCCCTTTGAATCAATTATCACTTGTCTTACTTGATTTCACATATCATCTGTCTGTAAACTGATCTTGTTACCTTAATTAAAATCGGTAGATTTCTTACTCGTTTTTTTTATATATGGTAAAAAAATAATACTTTAAAATCTGATTTTGGCTTCCTTCTTAACAAGGAAAATATATGTTAGTGAATATTTTCTCACCTTAATTAAGCTTAACTAGATTTCTTACTTGTTTATATTTTGGTAAAAAGAATAAATAAAAATAGGTCTAATTTTGGCTCTCCTTTTGTTTAAGGAAAGCATGATATAATTGACTCCTTAATTATTTCTTTTCCTCTATTATGTGCCCTTCCCTTCACTATATAAAGAGACCTCCTAGTTCTTTTCTTACACACTTTTCCACTCACTCTTACACACGGAATACTCTCATACTTAGACACTCTAACATCCTAACTTGCTCACGCTTTACTCTTGAATATAAAAAATATTGCTCTCTACTCCTACTTTTAAGGATTTATGTTTTCCGGTAAAAATTCTGTGTTGCTGTGTTCGGGTCGAATAGTGGATTAAGCTTATCTTCATTGCTGATAATTAATTCTGCGTAACTGGTTAGTGTTTGCCTTAAGTTTATTTTTTTTTTTATATATTTTTTTTGTTTTGCATTATGCATCTCGTTGTGTGTTTAAATGAGTAAAAGGAAGCACCCAGGTTAGTTCCTCTCTTCCCTCTTTATGTGTGACACTATATGCGGTGTATTTCTTTACTTGTTTAAATTCTAGTATGAATGTCCATGATTTAGTTTATGTGTATTGAGGCAGCTTGGGAAATAGTTAAATCCCGTCATATATATACTTGTTTGTATCTTTTGCCATCTTTTAGCAGGTTTGAACAAAAGTTCAAGATATGGAGAGTCGCCATGAGTGGGAAACAATAGACGAATCGAATTCATCTAATTTATGTCTTTGTATAAGTTTTAACTTTATTATCGTTGTGTAATAATTTGTATAACTCTCAACTCTCTCTATATATGAATAACTTGGGGATCGTCTAAGGGGGAGGGGGATATACGTGCTAATTGTTTCTTTTCATTTCTAGTCTAGTTTATTTTTTGCTATGTGTGATTGCTAAAACATGTCTACGTTGCTTAAATTGTAAACCTTGCAAGCATATTAGAATATATCTAAATATTGGCTTAAAATCAACCTTTGTTTATAATCCTATCAGATTAATCAACTTATCATGAATATATGTTTAAATTTGCTTGATCTTGAATTGGTAGAATCTTGTCTCAACACTAATGTTGTTAAAATTTGGAAAGTGATTAATGACATTCAGACATCATGCCTCTAGGATTTTAATATAATAAATTCGAGTAAGTCAGTTGGTTTATTTATTTAGAAGTCATGTCTTTAGGTCTAGATTAACATCATGTCAATAAAATATGGCTAGATACATAAATTCAGTTTGCCATAAAGTTTTGCCTAAAGTGTTTAATAATCCGTTTAAATAAATATCATGCCTATAGGATTTAATAACTTGCTTAAATGAAATAGAATGTCATGCCTATATCTTGATACTATTCCAGCATGTTTATACTTAGAAATCATGCCTATAGGTTTTACATATTTTTAAATATATTATTTGGGTGTAGAAATTAAGCATATAGGTTTCAAGTGACTTTTTAGTTTTATTTGGAAATCATGCCTTCGGATTAATAATTAATTGTTGTAGAAATTAATCGAATGTCAAAAAAAAAAAATATATAATTTCTCAGCACGTTAAACAAATGAAATAATTTGCTGCATATTCCTGCTCCTTGTTTAAATAATTTTCTGCATTGCAACTATATTCTGCCATTTAAAATCAATTCATAAACTATTTTCCAGCATGTTTTTAAACTAAAACTTGATGTGCATATTTGCTGAACGGCTAAATCATGCCCGGAATTAATTATTTTCTGCATGTTGAACATGTCCTGCAAATTTAAAATAAATCATTTTCTGCATTTTTTAATTTGTCCATGTTGAGAATAATTACCATTATCTGCATGTTGCTTTGCCATTTAAATTTGGCTCCTAATTAATTTCTGTATTTAATAAATTGATTGCTATTTAAAAATAAATTTAGTTCGACCTGCTACTGCTCTAAAAAACGCCCGGATCTGTAATAATTTTTGTGCCACTTTTAAAATCAGTTTATACCTAAAATCTGCCTTATGTCATAACTAATTGCCTTTTCATTAATTAATTGTTATATTGTTATGTTGCTTACTGCCTGTTTTATATGTGCACACACTCGCATGCGATCCTTTCACCTTATTTGTGTTTGTCAGCATGCTTAATAATCTAGAGGCCAATTTGAGATTTTATGTGCTAAGTGTTGTCCTATTTGTTTGACTTGGTGTCTAGGTGGGCCTATTATATTTTTTAGTCTATACCCACCCTAATAGTAGTCCAATGCCTCTTGGACCTTAAGCGGGAACGATAGGCACTTTGTAGAGACGTTAAGCATGCGGTGGTAGGGTAGGGGTAGTTTAGGCCCTATGGAGATGATGACATCGACTCGGTCTAAATGACAAACTTTGGTTTTGTCTGTCCCTACGAGAAACCGACCGAAATAAAGAAAAGTCGAGTGCTGATCCTAAAGTCCTTCAGAGTCTCCCTTTCCTTTTCTCCCTTTACTTGTTATAATTATTTGGGGTAGTTTAATAAAAAATAAAAAGTGTTTATTCTATCTAATTGTGCAAATTTCTATTCCCTCGCTTATCTCTTTATTTATTGTGTAATATTTATTTATTATGTTATCACTTAATCTCGCTTGCCTATCTAATTAATTAAAATAACTAAAGTGCCCTTAATTGCTTAATATTGTTATCACCTAGTTTTCGCATGCTTAATTAATTAAATAAATATATGGAGTGGCCTTAATTGTTTAATATTATTTATCATTTAGTAATCATGCTAACTAAATAAATAATAAATGAAGTGACCATACTTGCTACTTGTAACCCCCACATATTGCATGAGACACGGCCGGGACCCACATTTGTGGACCTCGAGGGATGCCTAACACCTTCCCCTCGAGGTAATTTGAACCCTTACCCTGATCTCTGGTTCGTTTGACCTTAGTTAGATTTAGCTAGGTTAGATAGGTGCCCTAACGCGCCTTAATTCGTTAGGTGGCGACTCTTCATTCACCCAAAGCCCAAAAGAGTTGTTAGGTTGTGCATTCCGAAAGGAAAGTCCGTTTTGAGAAAAACGGGGCGCGACACTCCACATATAACAAGAGAAATATTTTGCCTTTGTGAGTTTGCAAAATAAACAAGGAAGGGTCAATCTTACTACAAATGAAACCAAGGTGTAAGAGATGCATGCTAAACTTATCAAACCAAGCTTTTGGTGCTTGTTTAAAACCATACAATGCCTTTTTAAGTAGACACACATGCTGAGGATATTGGGGATCAACAAAACCAGGAGGTTGACTCATGTACACCTCCTCTTGTAGGAAGCCATGGAGAAAGGCATTTTTGACATATAGTTGTCGAACTTCCCACTTTGAACTGACAGCAATGGATAGAACCACCCTAATAGTTGTGGCTTTAACCACATGACTAAATGTTTCTTCAAAATCTATCCCTTCAAGCTGCGAGAATCCCCTTGCCACAAGTCTGACCTTGGATCTATCTACTGTCCTATCAGCTTTTAACTTTGTCTTAAACACCCATTTTGAGCCAACCAAATTTATACCAGGAGATTTGGGCACCAAAATTCATGTCTTGTTAGTATGCAAAGCATCAATTTCTTCCTGCATTGCTGCAAGCCAATGAGGTGACCTTAGTGCTTTCTTAGTAGTACTTGGTTCTCTCAAAATTTATGTGTTGCTGCGAGCAACAAGTGACAAGTGATATTCCTTCGCCTTGTGCCTAGTGATCATATGATGCCCTCGTGGTGCAGGAAGTACCTCAACTGGTACATCAACCAAAGTAGTTGA